GGAGGAGGAGAAAGCGGATCAGGAAGTAGGGAGGGGGGAGGAGGAAGGAGGAGGAATGAGGGAGGGGGGAGGAGGGAGGAGGGACCAGGCTCGGCGGCAAACCCCAGGGGGAACTGAGAGGGGGCAGGCCTTCTCAGAAGGCGGCGGGGTTCCGCAGGAGCCTCGGGCGCCGTCCGAAAAGCCGCCGTGGCTTCGGATGAGGCCTGCAGGATTTCTCGGAAGGCGCCCGTGGCCCCTGAGCGCACTGAATTGTCAACTCCATTGCTCGCACAATCATCCCACCAACCCACCAGAAATTTCACTCGCGATAACCACGCGGCGGCGATTGCGATGACTGCTGTGCGCTGGCTGGCGCATCGCCGCGTCCGCGCTAGCGCGAACAAGTTTGCGCGCAGACCGGCCCGCAAGTCTGGCGCGACCGACGCGGCCGCCGTGGCGCTCACCGCTGGGGACACCCCAGCGCGTTTCCCAGGAGCCTTCTCTTTGTTTCTTTTTCTTATTACTATGTTGTTCTTATTTGTTCTTCTTCTCCTCACTACTATTGTTATTGTTGTTCGTATCGTCATTGTTACCATTATGTATCATTGTTATTGATATTACTACCTTTTCGTTTGACTATTACCATGTGACGGGATAGCGGCCCTCACCGGCCACGTCTCCCCCCAGTTAACGTCATGGCGGCGTCTGGGAATGCCTAGGGATGACCGAAGCCAAATAAGAGCAGCATATAGGTAGCGATCTGCACCACAGCGCCTGTGTACACCACAACGCTCGCGTGCACCACAACGCGCGTGCACACCACAGCGCCTGCGTACACCGCAACAGCCGTGTGAAATGCAGCGCGTGACATCACGGTGGTTGCGTGCATCACAGCGTCTGTGTACACCACAGCGAATGTGTACACCGCAGCAGCCATGTGCAACACAGCGCCTGCGTACACCACAACATCCACGTGCGACGCAGCGCTGGTGTACACCAGCGCCTGCGTGAACAAGATAGGTAGGCGGGGCATGTCGGTAAGGATCTGCTGCGGACAGGTTCACACCACGCAATGGAAATGCTGATCATAGAATGCGATGTGATTCCCTCCTCCTTCCTCCGTCTCCCCCTCCTCCTCCTTTTCCTCCTCGTCCTCCTTCTTTTCCTCCTCGTCCTCCTCCTCCTTCTCTTCCTCCTCTTCCTCATTCACCCTTGCCCCCGTCGTGCGGGTCGGCGCTACAACGCAGCTGTGCATCTCAATGTGCACCGCAAAATGGTCTATTGAATCGGTCCGCTTGGTTCTCGGGCGCCAGATTCAGCTGGGGCCTTCTGGACGCAGATGGGAGGAGCTAGGATGCGGGAGGGCTCGGGAGAATTCGTATATTCCAGCGCGCATCTTTTTCCATAGAAATTCCTTTCCAAATCCTGTACAAACAATTTGTGCAATGGAATCCACAGGCGTTCCAGTTTTCATAACGACTCCTTTTGACATTACGCATGCAACAATAATGTTTTGTTGCAGGCGGCTGCTGTGGTGCACACAAGCGCCATGGTATACACAGGCGCTGTGGTAAACGCAGGCACTGTAGTGTACACTGGTGCTGTGTTGCGCACGGCTGCTGTGGTGTGCGCGGGCGTTGTGTACAGCAGCGCTGTGGCGCACGCAGGCACTGTAGTGCACAATGGCGCTGTGTTGCACGCGGCCGCTGTGGTGTACATAGGCTGTGTGGTGCGCGCGCGTTGTGGTGCACGCAAACACTGCGGTGTACACAGGCGCTGTGGTGCAGATCGCCACCTGCATGCTGCTGCTACCCGTCCTCGGTCATCCCTTAAGCATTCCCAGGCGCCGTTTGCGCGAAACGTGACGTCATCGGCCTCCTCCCAGGTGGCGGCCGTCATCGCCCCGGTGTTTAAACCATCAAAAAACAGGCTCCGGGCCGTCCTGACGCGCGAGCACTTCAGTGCGAATCGATGGCCAGGGCGGGCGCGGTATCATGGCGACGCCGATCACGGCGGACACGATAATGATAGTATCGCTGCTGGTGGCGAGGATGACGATGACGACGGCAAGGCCAATGACGGTGCCGATGCTGATCACGCCGATGACGATGATTGTGCCCACGTGTCGGCATTGAAAAACAAGGATTCGACATGCGCGCGCTGCCGACGGGCGCGAGTGGCCCGCATGGTGTTCGTTGACAGGGGTCGCGCTTCTCCCCAGCAAGCGCGCAACTACGTTCGAATGGTTTCAGCACGCGCACGCGAAAGGCCCGCTTGGTTGCATGGGATGAACATGACGAAAAGCCGCAGACAGGTTCCCTAAGAATTCGCAAAGGCGCGCGCAGACTTATCTGAAAAGCCAGATTGCAAAACCTGTGTGTGTGTGTGTCTGCGTGCGTGTCATGCTTCTGGAAACCAGATCTTGAAATCCAGACGAAATGAAGAGAGTTTGGTGAAATTCGACATGCGCGCGACGACGCGCGCGTGGATGTTGTCAAATGTGTTCAAGGGGTTTTGAACACTGCATTTGAAATTGAAGATATGCGGTAAAACGGGCGCGCGCATGTTGTCATTGGACGAGGATGAGAGGGAGGTTGTCGATGCCGACTTGGTTGGGGTAGTTCGAACTCATGTCTACGAGGAACCATGGGGCAACATCGCATGTATATTGTGCTATCCCAAAGGGAACCACGAAGACAAAGAGGGGTTATATTTAAATGTGTTGTTCTTCTTTCTTTTAAAAATGTATGTGGTGCGCAATCTATGTGAGGTGATCCACTATATGTCGTGCAATATGGGCGGCGACAGGGCGGCGACGGCGATCACGGGGCCGCCAAACCGCCGCGAGGGCACGATCCCCTGTCAAAGCGATGCCAAACAAGAAACGTTGTCCAAAATCGACGGCAACCGACGTTTGTCCAGCATTGTTGAAGTCGGGGCGGCGACACCGACAGCGAGTTATGCCCAGACTGGAAAATGCTGCATGTCTTCGTCACATTGCGTTCCGTCGCCATTCCAGTCCTCCATATGCCTTGCGCTCCCGAGCACTCCCAAGCACTCCCAAACGCTTCCAGGTATGTACCAGGATTCCAAGGCGCCTCCGAACGTTCCCTCAGGCTTCGCGAACTTTCAGGCGTCTCGGGCGCGCCCAGCGCTCCCGAACGCTCCCTCACCACTCCCGCTATAGACGTCGTCCTGCGTGCGCGCAACCATGATCCCTCGTAGAACACGCACACGAATCCGTGCCTTCCTTCGTCTTGCTTCCCTTATTTAGTTTTACCAGGCAGCCAACCTGCCACCCAAGCAGACAGCCAATCAACTTACACCCGCAACCCATCCACCTAGCCAGCCAGCTGGCCAGCCCAGTTGCCAGCCTACCAATCAACCAACCAACCCAACCAACAACACCGCCATGCAGGCAACCAGGACGGTGGGGCCCAAACCCTCAAATAAATACATCTGGACACGTTGTCCGGTGTGCACGACACTGCGAGGAGCCTTCTTTGAGTGGCAACGTCAGGGGTGACCAACCCAGGGGGAAACATTGTGCTGGAATCGGCGGTGCATCGCAGATAAATCGGCGATAAGGCCTATAGCGAAGCTGCACGCTCCAGGACGGGGTGGGCCACCAGGCCCCTGTCGGTGATGAATGGGCGATTAGGGGTCGATGCGCCCTCCTGAGCCAATCCCCGCGAACACTGCCCCGTCGAAGGGGCGGATGAGACGCAGAACCCAAGTGATCAATGGTCTTGGCGTAGCCGACGTGCTGGCTGCATCTGGGCGCGGTGTCTGCAGCACTCGCCGGGTGCGTGTCTGGCCGTCGGCGGTCCACAATCGGGACAAGAACATGCATCGGCGACATCAGGTTGGTGATGAATAATCACCTGCCCCCGAAAACCAAGATGGATATCATCATCGAGAAGGCCCCACCACGCTGTGAGCTGCAGAAGCGCCTTGGGGCTCGGGCCTGCGCAGGAACGAACACCATGATGAAGCAGGTGGCAGCCGTAGTAGTGTTGTTGCCTTTGACTGGTGCCAAGGGCGATGACATACGTGCGTTCACGGTCAATGCTCCATTCGAATGGCGCGACGTGCTCGCAATGACACCCAGCACTTGCGCACACATCACGAAACACGGCGCTCTCCCAGGGAGCAGCCTCGCAGTCATGCCCGACGCGAAGCTGCGGCCAGTGTCTGTGGGGCGCGATGGGTCGGGCAACGTCGTGGCGTTCCCGTGGGCGAGTCGATCAACATCGCGGTGTAGCCTGCAACCGCTGATGCCCTGCGCAGCAGGACTCCCACACGTTTTACACGGTCCAGCGTTTGTCTTACCGTAGCCTGTGAGCGTCCAGGGCAAGTTGTCTGTCGGCTTGCAGAACAGCGGTAGGCAAAAGCAAACTGCTCGGGGAACGGAGGGTGGACCCACTGAAGAGATTGGGGAGAGTGCGAATGTGCACCCACATAGCACCATGCGCAGTCCCGTGGATCGCGAGCTGGGATCGCTCGTATCTACGCTACCAACTAGCATTGCGGGTGGCATGGGTGAGAAGCAAGAGTCATGGCGGCAATGGTAACGTGAGAGGTCGCAAAGAGTATGTCCTTATTCCTTATTCCTTCAATACCGTATCGAACGCGTGCACGCTGCACGCCAAATAGCAGCGGGCGCGCGCTCCTATTCGAGTGAGGAGGAGGAGGAGGAGGAGGAGGAGGAGGAGGAGGAGGAGGAGGAGGAGGAGGAGAGTGAGGAGGATGAGGAGGAGAATGAAATGGAGGAAGGGGAGGAGGAGGAGGAGGAGGAAGAGGAGGAGGAGCAGGAGGCGAGGGGACTTGGGATGGAATGGCGTACTCCAGCATCGTTTCTGCATCTGGGTTTACTCTGGTCCTCCTCCTCCTCCTCCTCCTCCTGATCATCACGCTCTTTGCGAGCACATGCGGACCGAAGAAGAAATCAGACTCGCACGAAACACAACCATGTTCCCTGGAAGACGATCAGACACCCAAACACACGCTGCTTTTGGACATCGCCTCGGAGGCACAATCGCCTGGCGTGCGGCTGACTCTTGCCGTGGCAACCTTTTGGAGGATCTGGAACGTAAGGGCCTCTGAACTCACCACAGCACGGCCAGGGCCACGGCGCGAGGCGGAAGACCCCGAGGCAGACTGGGAGCGCTGCCTGAGCCAGCCTGCTGTGAGAGGACTGTTTTTCTGGTGCGCGCAAAGGCGGCACACTCGTCGTCGCCCAGTCGCTCCCGCCTCGGGGCAAATGCGCTGCCTGCTCGAGGACGCTCGGCCGTAGGTCCGCAGCCGATAGACGTCCGGGGGGAGGGGGGCGGAGGAGGAGTAGCACACAACGACACGGAGCATCCAACGTGCCACGAGTCGTTGCCCGAGGTGGACGTGCGGGGAAAGAAATGTGTGCATATACCCCGACATACGACGACGTGTCTTTCTCAGTCCTCGGCCCCACAAGTCCTGACCCCATCCGACGGGCCAATTATTTGTCCCAGGCTTATGTTGCTAATCACAGGGCCCGATGATGGGACCGAGAGGTCGAAATCGAGGAAAACGCTCGGATCTAACAAAAACGTATAGTCGTAGATCTGGGTATCCTCTGAACCTTACGAGGCACATGATACTTTCAAATGGAAGTTACATCATTATTTGGCTCGCTCGGCTTTCGGCGGAATCTTGACGCGGGCTCTGCAACAGGCCCTCTCTGGTCCACCTGAGCGGGCTTGTGAACAGAAGAGGTGCCTCTAGGCTGGGTTGCGAATGTAAATCTGATGCAGAATGATCCGCCATCCAGCCTACGGCGAAGAGAGAAACGCTAAACAGTGGAGCAGGCAGGGGACTCAGGAGGAAGAACAATATATGACACAACGTTGAATGAGAAATCCGCCGGCCCCCTTGTGGGGCCACCAGGCTGTAGGCCGGAGGTTCGCAGTTTCCTGTACCAGTTGCAGCTTCCAGCTTCCACTGTTACAGTTCTGCTTCTTGCTGCATACTGCTCCTTGTTACAATTCTGCTTCTTGCTGCTTACTGTTCCTTGTTGATAGACCGCGCGAGGGGGGGAGGCCCAAAACGGACATTTTTACCACGCCCAAATCGTATTGTCTGAATTGCTGGGGTGGGTAAAAATTGACACCCCTCACGCAGATCCGCGGGGTCAGGGTCCAAAAACACAAGGGCTTTGCCACATTTCTGAAATTCGGCGGCACCCCTCACGCAGATCGGCGGGGTCAGGGTCCAAAAACACATGGAGTTTGCGATATTTCTGAAATCTGGCGGCACCCCTCATGCAGATCGGCAGGGTCAGGGTCCAAAAACTCAAGGGATTTGCTACATTTCTGAAATTCGGTGGCACCCGTGAACCAGATCCGTAGGGTCAGGGTCGAAAAACAAACAGGTCCCGACACTGCTTCACGGCGGCGCCCAGACCTCATGATTTAGCCTTTGCATCTCCCATTATCCGAGACAGGGGGCCGGCGGCATGGGGCGAAGCCCTTACTCGGGGATGGACAGACCTCCCTTTAGTAAAACGTGGTTTTGTGAAAACGACCTGAGGCCCAAACCTGGCGGGCGCAAGCCTGGAAAATAACGGCCGCGGCGCCCTCTCGAGAACCGAAAACGGACAATTTACTAATCGACGTGTCACTGTTGGGGGTTCTGTCCACCCCCGACTTGTTGCGAGACAACTCTCGGGGCACGGCACGATGAGTCGCGGCACGCCGTTATCAAGATCCGAAGTAGCTTCTGGCACCCCTGGCTCAAGATCTACTTCATCTGGCTAAAAAAGTCATCGCTCAAGACGACGCAGACTCCAGACCCGTGCAATTGCACGTCACTGTGGCGTGTGGGTTAACTTTAAACTCTGGCGAGATACAGCAAAACGACTGGCCATTCGAAACTACCGGGACAGTGTGGACCCCCGCGTCAGGGTTGTTGCACTGGTCTCCCGTGACGCAAATGCCCTCCACCACTGGTTCCGAAGTGGTTTCTGGTGCCTCCGGCTCAGGAGGCGATACATCAGGCTCGCGCTGACCGAGGCAAACACACTTTACCTTGTCACCTGACATGACGTTAAGCTGCGGAGCGATGGCACCGTCGCAACAGAACGACACGCCATTCGATATTACCGGGGCGATGCCAAGGTTGCCTCCACACTCATCACCTGTGAGACAGTTCCCTTCGATCGTTGGTCCCGACGACGTCGAGCGGCGCAGCTCCAAGAGGACCTGCTCGTCCTCGCTTGCGTCGCAGTCGCTGCCGCCGATGGACGCGTCCGCCTGCGCAGAGACGGTGGCGATCACGAAAGCGACGACCGGGATACCTCCCACTGCCCACATGGTGTGGATCCCTGCTTCTTGTCAGATGCGCGTCGAAACGCCTGGGGATGCCACGCAAGAGACGAACTGGGATCCCAGAGCAGCTTGAGCCACGGCAGCTTGCGCCGATATTGCGAGGGCCAAAGTGCAGTTTGCGAACGACCTCCGCGCCTAGCAAGTGGTGCGTCCAGAACTCGCTCGCAACTCGATCTGTATCGGTGCTTGTGTACACAGGGTGTGGCGAGGTGGGCGCGGGTGCGCCATGCGGACTTTTCAACTGCCGCCTTAGATGGAACTCCCGATGGAGCCACGATCCTTGTGATGGGGTGTGCAGAAAAAAGGGCGCGGGGACGACATAAGGAATTTCCCACTCTGGCCGCAGGTGATGACGGGGAGATCCTTTTGAAGAGGTGTGCCGACATGGGCGCGGGGACGCCATGCAGAGTTTGCGCTGGGGCCGTAGGTGGAGATCCCTCTGAAGGCACGATCTTAGTGGGCCTTGGAAACGACAGGGCCGTTTATTCACCGTTTTCGTTTTGCCGTTTTTTTGTCGTGTCTGGCGCCGTTTTTTTGTCGTTTCCGTCGCCGTTTTTTTGTCGTTTCCGATTGTTTTTTTACCGTTTCCGACTCCCGGGGGGGGGCCCTCTGCCAGATCACAGTTTTTGGTTCCGAACCGGTTCCGAACCGGTTCCGTGCGTCGCCCTGATCTGCCCTCGCCAAATGCAATTTTCCGTTGCCGTTTTTGAGCTGTTTTCGTTGCCGTTTTTGTTCCTGTTTCCGGTCGCCGTTTTTTAACCGTTTCCATGTTCAAGAGACACTTTTTCGAAAACGGTTAAAAAAAACGGCCCTGCCGTTTCCAAGGCCCACTAAGGGCACGATCCCTGTAAGAGGTGTGCCGAAAAATGGCGCGATTACGCCGCTCGGAGTTGCCACTGGAGCCGTAGGTGGGGCTCTCTGTATACGGGCACGGACCTCGTGGTGGGTGTGCCGAGAGAGGGCGCGGGTACGCCGTGCGGTCGGGCCAACTGAAGCCGCAGGTGGGGCTGCCTATGCAGTCACGCTCCTCGTGCGGAGTGGGCCGAAAAGGGCGCGGGACGCCACGAGGACTTTCCCATTGAGGCCGGAAGTGAAACTCCCTACGTGTGGTGGGGGGGGGGAGCGTGTGAGAAGTGTGCCGAAGCGGACACGCGGCGGGCAGACGCAGGGCGAGGGAAGGGAGGAGCATGAGGAGGATGAGGATCACCAGGATGAGGCGCGCGGCGCTGCGCACCAAACACGAGGCCCTAGCTCCTCGCGCGCGAGCCGGGAAGCTGCAGCGCAAGCCGCGTGATGCCTCTGGGAGCTTTTTTGGGGCTGCAGACCGTCTCGGGGGGACTTCAGATACCCCACAGAGCCCTCAGACTACCACGGACACATGCGAATAGAAATCTTGCTATGATAAAAAATCTGTGGAAGAAAAAACGCCACAAATATAAACTTTGGGCGCTCCGCAAGGATTTCTTGGATCCGCGCTGGACCCCCCTCCCTGGTGCGCGGAGCGCGCCAGGGGCGGCGCCGGAGGCGCCGCCAGGGGGGCTCCCAGCGCAGATCCAGAAATCCGCGTGGAGCGCCAAAAGCTGTCTATGGCGTTTTCGTTCTTCTTCGAGGCACACTCATCGGCTATCTTTGAGGCTCCCAGGGTGCCCCAGAGCTCCTTTGTCGGCGCTTCAAAGATGGCGTCCCGAGGGGTGGGGACCTGAGGATAGGAAGGGATCCAAGGGTGGATCTACGTTGTTTGAGGCACCTCGCCCTTCGGACCCGCCATCTCGGGAGCGGCCAAGAGGGGGGTGTCCAAGAGGGAGGGGTGCAAATCATGACCGGCGGCATGTGCGCGGCCCAGCGGGGGGGCCTGGGACGTAATGAAATAAGAAGAGGCGCCACGATTTCTGGGGAGATATTGTGGCCCCCGCCATGACATCCACCCCCCCCTAGTCATCACCCCCCTCTTTTCCACCCCCGACCTTCGGGCCCGCCGTCGGCGGATCAGAACCTTCTGCCGGGCACCTGCCGGCAGGCCCGGTGCCTCATTGGAAGGCGGCCCACGGAGGCAGGAGACGGCCCCACGACCCGCCAGTCGCCTTCGGGAGAGCCAGGCAGAGCCATCGCGCCCAGAACGGTCCCCCATCGGGCCCCTCAGCGGCCCTCAAGGGCACCCCAAAGGAATCCCCAAGAAGTAAGTCGGGCGTGTCCCCCTACAGGGGTATGTTCGACGAAGGATTAAATAAATAGTCAAACAATGCCCCCAAATGGTCAGAAAGTGCAGAAAAATCGTCCCCAGACTATTCTTTAACTATTTTGGAGCATTCCCCCTGTAGAGGGACAGGCCCGACTTAACCCAAGAAGTCTCCAATATCCCTTCGATGGGGGAGGAGAAGGGGGGGGAGGATAACGAAACAGTGGGCCAGGAGGGTGCGTATTAAGAAGACGGGGGCTGAAATGGAACGGGCCTTAAACTCAACCTCCGTCCATCTGTTCTACGGCGCTTGTGCGGCTTGCCGCAGGCTGCTGGATATGGGCTGCTGTTATTGATCTGACTCTGGGCCAGATTGCACTCCCGAAGGGGGGGGGAGAGCCCCTGTACATTCGCGCTGGAGCCGCCTGGCCCCACAAGGCACATATTCTAGGCGGCGAGCCCAGTGGGGAAGTGAGAAGGGGCGGGCCTTCTCAGAAGGCTTGGAAATCCCCCGGCATTCTGACAAATTTTCTGAGCCTTCCCCGAAGACACAGAAAACTCATCAGAAGGCCGGAGAGCTTCTGAGAAGTCCCGCCGCCTCCTGAGAAGGCCTGGTCCTTCTCATTTCCACCCCTCGCTCGCCGCCGAAAATCAGGCCCCGCAGCGGCGGCAGACCATGAACGCGGCATCGGGTGGCGCTGCTCCGCCCGCCCTTGCGCCTGACTCGCCAGGACCGAAAGCAGCGGCAGGAGGAGCAGGTGAGGTGGGGAACCGAACTCTGTACACCGACGCATTGCCCGGCCCCGCACTGACACTCGCACAGGAAGCCAGAACCTGGTGTACATGGGATCCTGGCGTATATCGTTCAGTGCTTAACGACTCGTGGTTTGCGACTTGTGGACTTGGCCAAGATAAAAGCTGACAATTATCAATATTGTTCTGTTTATGTTCTTTTTATCGGCAAACATGGCGCTAAATTATGATAATTGTTGTTTCTTTATCTTGTGTTATCTGTTTTGTTTTGCGCATCTCTATGTTTCTGTGTATCGTTACTCGAACTGCCCTAATGCGCATCTCTATGTTTCTATATATATCCCATATATATATATGTACCTAAGTACTGTGTATTCGCATCTCTAGGTCTTTATGTTTCTGTGTATCGCTCCTTCGCAATCTTATATTCTATCTTACCATATATCGTAGTAGTCGGTCGTCATCGTCGTCGTCGCCGCCGTCGTCGTCGTCGTCGTCTTCGTCGTCGTCGTGGTCGTCGTCGTCGTCGTCGTCGTCGTCGTCTTCGTCGTCGTCGTCGTCTTCGTCGTCTTCGTCGTCGTCGGCGGCGGCGTCGGCGTCGGCTTCGGCGTCGGCGTCGTCGTTGTCGTGATGGCGATGGTGACGACGATAGCGATTACGATGCCGATCGATGACCGCCCTGGCGATCGATGACCGCCCTGGCGTTCGATGACCATCCCTTGCAGTGCTCGAGCGGGCAAGTGAGTTAGACCACTGGGTCCAAAGCTGCATCGACGGGGTCCCAGAGCTCAGCCCGCGCTCTGTTAAGCGCGTCGTCGTCCAAAAGTTCGTGGGGTGGGCCAGCTTTTCTGTACAGCTTCATGTGTGATTTCCGATCAGACCCCGCTGGTGGTCCATGAATGCACCATTGTTTCAATTTCCGAACAACTTGTTCTGAAGTCAATCCTAAACCAGAGCCCCTGCCGATTGTTATCTCCTTTGTACAGTATAGGTATCCAGTCCCACAAGCAGACACTTCCCTCGGGTGGTAAGGACACCTGCAGTACCAACTTCCAGGATGTGTTACGGTCTCCATGCGCTGTGTAAGGGAAAATTTGCCCCAACCGAAACCATGCGGCTCAACTGGCATTGCTGGCGGTGGAACCACGGGAGGCCCAGGTGCTGGTGGAGGGGCTGGGGGCCCAGGTGCTGGTGGGGGGGCGGGGGGCCCTTCGTCCCCCGAGGACTCCAGAGGTGGGGGGGGCTCAGCAGCGCCTCGGCCTCGGGCCCCTCGCCCTCGCCCCCGCCCCCGCCCTCGCCCCCTCCCCCGAGCATTTGCCATCCGCACCCTGATTGCAACAGTTTGTGCCCTGCGCCTCTGTTTAGCAATTGCTTGCTGAAAGTCTTTAAACTCGTCTGCGTTGTCATTGATTGTTGAATCGCCGCCAAATTCGAAGACGGCCTGGGCAGCAGGGTCAGCTAAGCCAAGCACGTCCCCATCGTCATCGCAGCTCTCGCCACCATACATCGCACTCGCACGTTGAACGAAATCCTCGTCATCCCCGTCCTCGAGGGCACTGGTAGCTATAAGTGAAATAAGCTGATCCCGTGAAAACGTATTATTACATATAAGCCCCATCTCACATGCGAGTAGAAAAGCGGTTGCTTTGTCCACATTCGATGCTCTATGGTGCAACATGTGTCTAACTAAACTTCTCGGAGCTGCACACTGTCTCAAAGCGATTCCAGAACTCGCCTCCACGTTCATCGCATGCAGTTCTGCAGGCGTGCAAACTTCATAAGGAAGAGCAACCCATTGCAACGAGTCGGTGACGAACACCTCCTCTACGTCGCCAGACACGGTGAAAATATTATTCGCAATTTCCTCGGCGTCGTCATCGTTCTCCTCCTCCTCCTCCTCCTCCCCCTCCTCCTCCTCCTTCTCCTCCTCCTCATCATCCTTCTCCCCCCCCCCTCCTCCTCCTCGTCCGCCTCCTCCGTCTCCTCCTCCTCCTCATCCTCCTCTTCCTCCTCCTCCTCTTCCGACGACGACGACGACGGCAAGTCCTGTACTGATAAAGCCAGCGCGCACCACTTCGAAACGCCAACAATGACGCACACATGGTTGTCAGCAGCTCGCCGAACCAACGCGAATAAAACAAGCATTCGAACGTGCCATGCGGAATATGCAGCAACACCTGGGGCGTGAACTTGGTTCTGGAAATACCGAATCGCCCATAGAAATGCAGACAGGTCAATCCTGGATGATAAAGGTGTTGGCGACCTCCATGTCAGACCTGGTTTAAGCATCGTCGACCAATCTCGAGGTAGTTTGTGGTGCCTGCTTTCAAACGTCGGCTTCATAGATGGCACATCGAGCCCCTCCGACCTCATTCGATCGCAAAACTCGTCCTCGTTCAAACTGATTGCAGGCAAGCCCCTCTCCTCCAGCACGCCACTGAAAACGCATGAGTTGTGCCTGGCAAGCCGAGAGGTAACGTTATTGGAGTTCGAACGCTCCATGTCGCGTAACTTCTGGTGTGTTTGCTCGACGATTCGGGAATCTGGAAGCACATCCATGAGAGCCTGCATCCATGTTCGGAAGGGTGCAAAGTTAGAATCAAATCCGCCCCTCTCAAGCAGCATATAGGCAACCCTCGCAACTTTAGGGACCATGAGCTTAACATCTCTCGCAAGCTCAATCACGCCACCGTCCATGACAGCACGTTGCTCCAACAAACAAATAGCACGCCAATCGTCCCCCATCGCTTGTGTATGGGCACGTCGGATGTCGTCAGAGTCATTCAAAACATTCGCATATTTAAGTGGCGGTGTCGCGTACGCCAAAAACAAAGACCATACTCGTTCGCTGACCAACGAAAGTGCTAACTCAAAACGTTTGTGGGCCATATCCCTCTGCTTCTGTCCCATAAGGGCCATATTAAGAAAACCTGCTTTCTGAAGCTTTTGCACATCCCTAAATGCAAATTGGCATAGGTTTGATATTTCGGGTTGCCAGCCCCTGGTGCTCATTGAGCAATAATCAACGATCGCATTCGCAGGGGTCTTCACACTCTCAGCTCTGTCACTGTGGGCTGTCCACGAGGCTTGTCCTATATCGTATAAAACATCAGAGCATTCCAAAAGATCGTCCGTAATCAAGCGGTGCACAAGACGAAACCCACCCTGCTGAGCTCGCAACTGCCTGAGCTCTGCTGCTGCATCCAAACCAGCTGGCATAAGTAATCTCTCGTCGTCGTCTGGGTTCGTGTCCAGTTGGAAATCCAACCAGCCTTGTAGCCTATTAGAGTTGTGTATGTGTGTGATATACGTCCTCATCCTCAATTCCCAATGGTAAATGTGTGTACGTGATATACATATATACACATGTGTGTACGTGTGTGTATGTGTGTGCTATATCTACACATCGTGTACCTCCTCCACCTCCTCCTCGTGTATGTGTGTATGTATATGTATCTCGTCGTGTATGTGTGTATGTGTGTGCTATATCTACACAGCTTGACGTATCTTCCTTATTCGTGTTCATATCCTCCTCATCGTGTCCAAGGAGGTCCAGGATCCCTTTCATCATCCTCGTCGCGTTCGGTTGTGGCCCGTGGGGGGGCGCGAAGCGCAATTAATAATATGCAATAATCCCTTTGAGGGCACGCAGCTCTTTCCGATGGAATTTATGATTCTCCCACCAACTGAACCATCTCATCAGTTTTGTCAACGGTCCTTTGAAATTCACGCTAGGCATATCAGCAAGTGAGTCAAATATGATGTCGAAATCGTCGTTTGAATGATGCCGCATGTCGTTGTCCATTGCGTACCCAACTGCAAATCGACGAAACTCAGGGCTGCCAGAATCGAGATTTGAATAGAAGTACTCCAAAATTGATTGCTTCTCGTGAAAGTTCGCGCCTTTGCCGAAGGGTCCATAGTTAATCCCGAAAATAAATGCTGTGAAGAGCATGACCCTTCTGAACAAGCCACCACATGCATGCTTGCAAGCGCCCTTAATGTCGTTCACTGCCCTGTGGAAAGGGTCGAACCGCAGCGACAGCATCGCCCCCTTTGACAACAAGTAATACATTATCGCAGTCCCGATGCCACCTGAAGTGAAGGGCCTGCAGAAACACGCCACGGGGGTCGTGAGGGAGGAGGAGGAGGACGAGGAGGAGGGGGAGGGGGAGGAGGAGCATGGGAGGTCGATGAGGAAGATGGGATGATGATGAAGATGATGATGAGAAGAAGGAGGAAAGGAGAGGAGAGAGAGTTCATGGAGGGGCCAGCCAGAGCGGGCCTCAGAGGGCCCCGACGGTGCATGGGGGGTGGGAGATTGTGAACCCGATTGTGAACCATTGGGTGGTATTAGCTGAACCCCATTCTGTATGTAATGTGCAAACAGAGGAGCTGAATACATTTCGGGCCTTTCGAGGGCCCGTTATGGGCCCAGGGTTTGAGCGGTGATGATGCATTGCAGCAGTCACCACGCCAGGCAGAGTAAAGAGCCGAACACATGCTGGGGATTAGGCCACGCCTCCTCCTCCTCCTCATCCTCCTCCGTATCCTCCTCCTCCTCCTCTCCCTCCTTATCCTCCTCCTCCTCCTCTTCCTCCTCCTCATGCTCCTCCGTATCCTCCTCCTCCTCCTCTTCCTCCTTATCCTCCTCCTCCTCATCATCTTCATCATCTTCCTCATCATCCTCCCCTCCTCCTTCGCCTCCTCCTCCTCCCCCTCATCCTCCTCCTCCTTATCATCATCTTCCTTATCATCAGCATCACCAGTATCATCATCATCATCATCATCACCATCACCATCAGCATCATCATCAACAGCATCACCGTCATCCTCATCATCATGATCATCACCATCATCATCAGCATCACCACCGTCATCATCGCCATCACCATCATCACCGTCATCATCACCATCATCATCATCATCAGCATCATCGTCACCATCGTCGTCATCATCGTCATC